ACACACAATAAACGGGAGTTTCGTTTCCCATTTCGACAGTTCCCGGTAATGTTCGGCTGCCCCCAGTCAAGCTGTTTGGATCTGAGGGTGGTGGCGCTCAGTCAAATGTTTTCAATTATGCTTACGTCGCTGTAATGAGAGGAGGCTATTTTCTTCTGGTGTCGCCTACCACTTCCAATACGATTTCCAACTTAGACTTTGTGTGTTGGGAATAGAATAAATTATAGGCTACTTATGTCTGAATAGCTGTACTCAAAATTAAATAGGCCTTCTTGAAGTAGTTTTCTTTAAAGAAACATTGACATGGACAATTCAAAGACAATAAAAACCCATTTGGTACCACTGTAGTCTTTGTACTGTGGGAGGAGGAGGCACAGGGAGAACATGCGAGGTCGGCCGGGGCTCAAACCTGGTACCCTCTTGTTGTGAAGCAACAGTGCTAACCACTGCACACCATGCCGCCCATACTTTTATTAACAAAACACAAATTATTTACTGATGCTTTGCAAACCATGTATAAACCATTAACAAGAACCTTTGTGTTGTCAGGTTGTGAAAAACAACCCTTACTTACTAGCCATTATAAACTTGTCATTCAGAATTTTTAGAACCAAAGCCACAAAGGGCGTTACAGAAAAACAACAAAAATAAATAAAAAGAAACAAAATCCACAGATGGAAACAGTAAAAAGACACAAAATAAAATCTAAAATTTGCAGGATATAAAATAGTCTATCATTTAATTTGAAAATGACTGCAGAGGGCCTGGCCAAACTGTTTATTAATAACAATAATGAATGTTTTTTTATATAACCAAATAAAGAAGATAAATACCAAACAAAAGGATTTTTAATGACCTGGCAAACCCCTATTAGCCATCATTAACAGCTTATAACTGAACTATGAAGTATTTGTAAATAATTAATTAAAAATGTTAAAACTGGGTCTGTTATTAACTGATCCTGAGTGGTGCTCAAGTGCATCCATCTAAAGCAGAATACACAATCAGACAGAGATGCAAAATGTCACAATCAAACATATTCCAAATCAGAATCTATTACCATGACATCATGCAGTATGAACTGATACATCTGTGATGAGAGTCACTTCAGAAGGATCACTGTTGAGTTCACTGGACTGGAATCTACTGTCCAGTCTGTCACTCATTGTGGCCACAGGCTTTACTTTTGACTGTTTAGTCTGCCACCTTGTCCAGCTGAGCTCCCAAGGCTTTGTCCTGGAGGTTGTATTTGTCTTTCATGCCGTTCTTCAGCTCCTGCCTGGTGTTCAGAACTGAAGTCTGAAGAGTTGCAATCTCAGCAGACAGCTCTATTACTGTTACATTACAGACATAGGACAAAGAAAATGCTTTTTTTTAGTAGTGCACTCAGAACTTTGCCAGAAGTTTCATCTTGTAGAGACATTAAATTACATTTCCCCAAGTAAAACTACAACATTCTTATTGCATACATAATATGTCACATTATTTGGTGAACGGTGATAACTGAGAGCAGCAGGACAGTAAGAGCTTTCAAAATATTTCCCTACCTGTATGAAATTTTAATTATCTACCTGAACCCAATATGGCTCTGATAGCTCAACACACTACAGCTAAAGAAAATGCATGCAGATAGACAAAGCTCAATGAAATGAAAAAAACATATTTACCAATTTTGACAACACACTATATCCAGGACAGTAAACATGCTCCAAATACAGACTACAGCAACAAAAGAAACAAAAGAAAGCAAAAGCAAACACAGACATGTTGTCATATTGGCATTTACTTTGTTTATTGGTGTTTTGTGTATCTGCATGTTTTTTATGCTGTAGTGCATAATGAATTTAGATAATATGGGATGTAATGTCTACAACTGTTGAAACATGGCTGTTTTGGTACATTGTGGTGCCATGCAACTGGTGTGAAGAGAAACCACATCTATCCTTAGCTATTTCTTTATATACATATGAAATGTAACATCCTACCTTGCTTGAATGACAACTGTGCTTGTTTAAGAGAGTGCGGCACCAGAATCCCAAACCATTTCAGTGGATCTTGCTGAGGATTCAGGTCACTTTTTTTAAGTGGACTTACTTCAGGAACTTTCTCGCTACTTGCTTTGTCATTTGCCTCTTTTTCTGTGATGTGCTTTTTTGGTTTGTTTCTTTTCCTAACACCTGTGAAATCAAATATTTGATTTTTTTCATTTATCATGTTGGACGTAAACATCTAACATTTTAAACTTACGTCAACCTCAGTAGACTCACCAACTTCTTGAGGTCCAATATCCTCTATGGACCTCACATCTTTTCCAGACTCTTGACATCCTGTAACTTTTTCTGTGCAGAACTCCACCTCACCACTGTCCTGTGTTCTGGTAAATACAAATCCATATTAAGAAAAAGAAAGAAAGAAAAAACACCTCAATGTACCTCAGAGAATTATTTTCATGTCTAATTCCTCACCTAGCATGAATGCAGACCAGTGGCTCGATCTCACTTGCATACTGAAGTGCAGAGACTTGTTTGTTTCCCATGGAATATCGTGCCTTAGACAGGGAAAACCATCCCTGTAGGGAACACAAAATGCTTGCAACAACCTACTTTGCAAAGTGACTTGATTGATTATTTTATTTATCAATTAATCTGATGATTATTTTCATTGAAAAAACACCAAAATATTCTAGACCGAGAAAAGCATCAAACTGTTATCTGTTTTATCAAGTGTTTTGTGGTTTTGCTTGGGGAAAAAAAAAAGCTTAGAGAGTTAATCAATCAACAAAAATAGTTTCCTTTTTTCCCAGGTGTCTGATTAATTAATCGACTAATCATTGCTGGTCTAGTAGCGGCATGCATTTGAAAAGTTGCTTAACTGATGTAACAGGAAGATTTTTTTTTCTGTTTATAAAATATAATTGAGATTCAGGATGCAACCCTTTTTCCATTATAAATCTGAGAAGGATTTTTATAATTAATTGACTACAGCATATTTAATCATTTCCCAGAGGCCAACGATCTTATTTAAATCGCCTTTTTTTAACAAAAAAGTACAAAGCCCAAGGATACTTTCAGACGACTATAAAAATTCCTCATATTTGAAAAGTTGCAACCTGTGAATTTAGTCAAAATCAACAAATTGATGCAAAATATTGCCGTTTATGCTCCGTTTCAACAGGACTAAACCTTAATAAACACTTGTGTGCGCATATTTTATACATTCATAAACACAGAATTATAAACTGAAACAGATGACTGAGCTTCCATAAACTAAATTACAAATAAACTCTATATGTTGTTTTTTTTTTTACTACCTGCTCAATGAGAGAGTTGAGAGTGACTCGTTTCTCCTCCAATAACTCCAGTTGGTCCATGAACCGGAGCAATTTTTCATCTAGTAATAAAGAGGATTCGTCCAACTCTGACACACCCATGTCGACTCTTCGTAAATTACTAGATCAAGTACTTTAGGTTACAGTTTTTACCACCGTGGTTTCTACTATAAATCTGCCGTTCAACGTTAAATAAATTGCACAGAGCACCATCAAGAGTACAGGAATAAACCTTTAACACTTCCGTTTAACATCACGTGACACATTTCGTCACATGATCTATGTCACATGCTTATACAATACTCTATATACGTCAAGAATTTTAGATAATCATCTATCGAAAATATAGCTTTGAGGGTGCAATGTTAATTCAATTAAAGTAATTTTCAAGTATTGTCATGGTAACTAATATTAATAAAGCCGGCTGTATGTTTGTAAATAACCTACATGGCAAATATTCAGTTCGTCCTGCATGTTTATTATTGTCAGCAGTTTGTTTGAGTTATGTCTTGTAATGATTTCAAAAATATCTTCATATGCTTAACTCTGAGAGAAGAGTATATTCAACACTAAATTCAACACTAACTATAAAATGCAATTTTTGAAGAAATTATGGGGGATTGCTACCTGCTGAAAAAGCTTGAACCAGATTGTGTTGCTGCCTGCTTTAAAGGCTTAAGCTTAGTGGAATTACAGCGAAATGTGAAAATACCTATTAATTAAAGTGCATTGGAATACAGATGACAATACATTGGCATATACTCGTGTGAGGGACGTAAAAGACTGTATTTGCAAGAGCCAGTAAACAATAAAGTAGTTCCCATACCGGGAGTCGAACCCGGGCCGCCTGGGTGAAAACCAGGAATCCTAACCGCTAGACCATATGGGACTGACACCCGAACAACAATATCTGTACTTTTATAGGGCGTGTTTGGGTCTGTTAAAGTTAAGGCTGGAGGTACTTCTGTTGCGTAGATATGGTAAACATACGAGGAACCTGACTCCGATGTTGTGTTGAAATATCTTTCCCTGTCGAGATGTATTTTCCTTAACCTGAACCCTATTCAAACCACAACCACTGAGAGGGGGCGCTACATGAATGACCAGGCGGCAACATCCAAGGCTGAAAGTGCCAATACCTGCAGTTCCTCGAATGACCACTGGAGGCTAGCTCCACAAGGGAATCAATCCTCATGGACGCTCATGTTAAAATGCCCAACTTTACAGTAGAAATAGACATGTTTGCAGCCTGGTCTCTATAGCTAATTTCCCTTGACAGTTTTGACTGTAGTGCCATATTCACATAACTCATAACAAAAGTGTTTCAAGTTCGGTTTCAACCCGGAGTCTGTCGGCGACGGCCAGGCTTCACGACCG